GGGAACCCCTGGGGAGACAGAACCAGTGCTGGCAGGATCCGGCCCTGGGGATGAATTGCTGAAGAAGGCAAGGAAGGCCTCCCTTGGGGAAGCAAGAGACCTAGGAGGAAGCGGGAGACCTTGGCCCATATGAGCCCCTCCAGCTGCAGGCTCTACCTCCAGGCCTGGAAAAGCCTCAGCCTGTACTCGGTAGCTCCTGCTGGGCTCCTCTGGCCCCAGCCTCTACCCACTTGTCAGGCCATCTCCCTCCCACTGGGGCTGGGGGTGGGGAAAGCTGAGAAGGGCCAGGAGAAAACTGGTGAAATAAGAACTTTTCTCCTCTCCCCGCTATTCTACCACTTCCTCCCTAGCCTGAAGTTTCTCATCCCCACCCAGCTAATGCACAGGCTGAAGGTGAGTGACAGCATTAGGGGGCCTTTTGGAGGTCTGAACCAGAAACTGAAGACCCACTGGCCCCCAGGGGTCAGAGACTTCATGCCCAGGCCTGCCTGGGAACTGGGAAATTCCATGGGGACAATAGGGGGAGAGGAGAAAGGAGATGGAGATTCATTTCCAGGAATGGAGGTGCAGGGGGTGTCTGTGGCAAAGGTGGGAGAGAGTAAAGCTGGGGAAGGGGAAGATGGGGACGGGAGGAGGAGGGGAAAGGGCATCTCAGCCCCCAGATCTTATCCCCCAGCTCTGAGCTGCCATAATCATTCCAGAGCCTTTGATGAAAGATGACACTAATCAAACATATTTTTTAAACAATTGTCCTTAGATGAACTATAGAAAACCTGTTGTCACAGGCTATTGACGGTTAATAAACAACAAAGGAAAGAAAAACTCTAAAACTGTGGTGCTGCAGGTGGAGCTCCTGGGCACAGATCAGGTGCAGATTAGCAGGGGAGGTTTAAAGCGCTCTGGACCAACGTCCAGGGAAGAGAAGAGCAGGAAGCAGGATGGGGCACGTGAATCCAAAATATCAGAGACAGGTCGCAGTCAATTCAGAAAGTCTCCTTTGCCAAGGTTAAGGACGTGCCCGTAACAGCCTCAGGAGCCCTGACAATATGTGCCCCAGGTGGTCGGGGAGCAGCTTGCTTTTATATATGTTAAGGAGACATGAGACATCAATCAATATATGTAAGACTTACATTGGCTCAGTCTGGACCAATGTCATTTGGTCTGTGGTGGGTGCAGGCAGGGGGTGGGGAAGGCAGCTTCCAAGTCATAGATAGATAGGAGACATAAGGTTGCATTTCATTTTTTTTTTTTTTTTGAGATGGAGTTTTGCTCTTATGGCCCAGGCTGGAGTGCAATGGCGTGATCTCAGCCCACTGCAACCTTTATTTCCCCGGTTCAAGCAATTTTCCTGCCTCAGCCTCCCAAGTAACTGGGATTATAAGCATGCACCACCACGCCTGGCTAATTTTTTGAATTTTTAGAGAAGGAGTTCCTCCATGTTGGTAGAGAAGGGGTTCCTCCATGTTGGTCAAGCTGATCTCGAACTCCCAGCCTCAAGTGATCAGCCTGCCTCTGCCTCCCAAAGTGCTGGGATTAGAGGCACAAGCCACCGTGTCAGGCCAAAAGTTACATTCGAGTCCTCTATCAGTCTTTCACTGAATGCATAATTTATTCTGGCTCAGCGAATCTGTATTTTTATATAAACAATAGTGCAGAGAAGCAATCAGATACACATTTGTCCTAGGTGAGCAGAGGGATGACTTTCTGCCCTGCACCCGTGAAGACCACCCAATAGTTTACATCGCCAGGGTGAAAATCACAGAACTGCTTTAGGGTAAAGATCTTGAGGCCCACAGAGAATTGTCTTGTGTGCAAATTTTAGGGAGGTGCATAGTTTTTTAATCATTCTCATTTAGGAATAAAATGGGAGGCCAGTTTGTCTGCTGTCGTTATTGACTTTCCCCTCAGGTTAGTGATTTGGGGATTCTGAGATTTATTTTCCTTTCACAGGCAGAAGGAGAAGTTGGGCTGCAACAGAGGCCATAAGGAAGCTCAGGCTACCCTGGGAGGAGTTTTGAAGATGGGAGGGCCCTTCAGGACTTGTCAATCAGTCAAGGGAAGCAGGGCCTGAGAGGGGAGTCTGGCCTTGACAAAGCAGCTCTCTGCAGCTGAGGAAGACCCCAAGGAAACAGGCATAGGAGACCTGCCCTTACCACTCCTAATGTCCATCAGTCCCGAAGAAGGAGCCGGCAGCACAGCATCCATGCTGTCAATCTGATCCAGAGTGAAAGCAGGTTTTGCAGCCGTCGAAGAGAATTCTTGATTGCTGGGCTCCATTCAGGCATGTGTACAATCAGGAAGGACTGGATTTACTTTATTTGTTCTTCCATTGGCCATGAGGGTCAGCCCTTCCCAGGTGCGTGTTCTATGTCCACAGCCTGTTGCTCAGGAAGCTTTGTTATCTCGCCTGCTGAATTGAGCAGCCTGTCCAATGCCCCACCTGCCCTGCACCTCCCTGCCCTGGATCTGCTGTGGCTCTGGGAGCTTTGAGAAGGGGGAGAGAGGAGGAAGGAAGTGAGAGGATGGCATGTTTAGGAAAGTGTCCAGTTAGGGCTGGGGACATGGGGCATGGGGCATGGAGTCTATAGCTCCTCAGCCCGGTGTCCTTACTATGGAGTTCACAGGGGAGCAGGCTCCTAGGATGAGCAAATTGTGCTGGTTCACTTGGTTCCAGGAGCCCCACAGGAGCAAATAGAGACAATTGGTCACCCTCACACCTACCGCACTCTACTTCAGGACACAGCTAAAGGCCTCTGCTTGAGTCCAGCAACCACGTGGTGTGTGGCCACATCCCCACCCACCCTCCACAGCTCCTTCTCATCAAGCCTCCCCATGGCTCCCAGCTGCCATGGCCTGTGCAGTCTCTGCACCTAGATCTCATCTCCTGACTCCACCCCATGGTCCCGGCCTCAGATAGAGCCCCACCTCCTCCCTGAAGGCTGCCCAGCTGGCCAGAGCCTAGAGGATTCCCAGTTCTCCCATCTCGGAAGGACTTGAGGACCTCCTGTCTCCTGCACTGTGGCTTCGGACCCTGTGCTGAGGTCTGGGGTGTACCTAGCAATGCCAGGCCTCTCTTCCTTCGGAGGCTGTGACCAGACTGAGGCCAGGGCTGGCTCCTGTTCTTTTCTGCTGTGCTCCACCGCACTCAGTGCTGAGCTGTGTCCATGCAGCTGTTCTGCGTGTGTTACCGGAAAGGGATCCCAATTTAGACCCCAAAAGAGGGTTCTTGGACCTCATGCAAGAAAGAATTCAGGGCAAGTGCATACAGTAAAATGAAAACGAGTTTGCTAAAAAAGTAAAGGAATAAAGAATGGCTGCTCCATAGACAGAGCAGCAACATGGGTTGCTCAGCTGCTTATATGTGCTACTTCTTGATTATATACTAAACAAGGAGTGAATTATTCATGAGTTTTCCAGGAAAGGGGTGGGCAATTCCCAGAGCTGAGGATTCCTCCTCTTTTTAGAACACGTAGGGTAACTTCCTGATGTTGCCCCAGCATTTGTAAACTGTCGTGGTGCTGGGAGGAGTGTCCCTTAGCATGCTCATGCATTATAATTTGTGTATAATGTGCAGTGAGGACGGCCAGAGGTCACTTTCGTTGCCATCTTGGTTTTGGTCAACTTCTTTACTGTAGCCTGTTTTATCAGCAAGGTCTTTATGATCTGTATCTTGTGCCAACCTATCTCACCCTGTAACTTAGAATGTCCACTCATCTGGGAATGCAGCCCACTGGGTCTCAGCCTTTTTTTTACTCAGCCTCTATATAAGATGGAGTCACTCTGGTTTAAACACCTCTGACACACATACCCAAAGAAGTGAGAAGGGGCTTCAGAGCTCATCTCCACCCTCCTGTGACAGTCTCACCAATGCACCACAATGTAGCAGTCTCTCGCTATTTGAGGTATCATCTGGAGTTCTTTGTCTCACAACCATGAAAATTAAGGAGCATGGACATCAAGGGTGAGGTTGGTGGGAAAGTGTAATAAGCAAAGGAAGAAAGCTCTCTGCCTGAAAGAAGAGGGGGCCTGAAAGAAGGTTGCCATTTTTACAGTTGATGCAAAGGCTTTTATAAGAAACTGGTAAGAGCTGGGTGTCTCATTTGCATAAGGCATGAATTTCTGGTAGCTCCCCCAGAAATTCCTGTCCTTTATTTATTTATTTATTTTTTTTGAGATGGAGTCTCACTCTGACACCCAGGCTGGAATGCAGTGGTGGGATCTCTGTTCACTGCAACCTCCGCCTCCTGGGTTCAAGGGATTCTCCTGCCCCAGCCTCCTAAGTAGCTGGGACTAGAGACATGCACCACCACACTTGGCTATTTCTTTTGTATTTTTAGTAGAGATGGGGTTTCACCATGTTTGTCAGGCTGGTCTCAAACTACTGACCTCAAATGATCCACCTCACTTGGCTTCCCTAGCTGGAATTACAGGTGTGAGCCACTGCACCCGGCTCCACCCTGTCCTTCTAATGTGCAGGTGCTTAGCTTGAGTTACTCCATATTGCTTTGGTCCCCTTACTCCACATGTCAGGGGATGAAATTTTCCATTGTGGGCATGTTTGGGCAAGTCCCCTGTGTAGTCTTTCTTATCTGTGAGCCTGTGGGCATGTCTTAGGCAAGCCCCACTGTAAACGTTCCCTTATTTGTGCCTGCAGCTTGATTTTTCAGGCTGTTCTTTTGTTTAAAAGAATTCAAATGCCTGCCAGACCGGTTTCTTCCTTTCTCTTCTCTCACATCTTTTCCAGATGAGGAAACAGGATCACAGAGGGGCAGTGACTTGCCAAGGTCACACTGAGATGAGTCCACTCTGTACCCTCCCCTCTTCAAAAGAGGACCTTACCAAAGGGACTGTCATCAGGGCCCCCAACATCCATATAGCGATGACACTTGGGAAGAGAGAGGACAAAACCAAGAAATAGAATCCTAAGGTCTTAAATGTAACATGGGAAACAACATTACAGCTGGAAAACAACATAAGAAACAATGGTAATGAGGCATTTACATCGTTGTACTGCTTATGTTCTTTTATATTGAAAACAATCTTGAGAAGTAGAAATTACTATTCTCTTTCACAAGGAAAAATGGGGCCAAGGGTTAGTGACTTGCTGAGGGTCACACAGTGACAGAGTGGCATCTCAGGTCCCTGTCCCTGACTTCTTCCCTAGTGCTCCTCCCCGCAGGCATCTCACTCTCAGAGGAAGCAGGACCATCAGTGCTGCTAGTGTGAGCTCTTGGGGAGCTATTTTCAACCAGGTGTGTTAAGCTCCCTCCTAGTACACATCAGGGTGGTGGCCACACCCTCATGATAGGGAGAACAGCTATCTTAGCAGGTTGCTTGCCAGACAGAGATGTGTGTGTGTGTGTGTGTGTGTGTGTGTGTGTGTGTGTGTGTGTCCTGGATGGAACCGGAGCTGTCAGTTCTTCAGCCTCAGTATTCCCTCTATTGCCCCCTCCTGGACATAGGGAAGAAGTTCCTCCTTCCGGCTGTTCCCCAGGATTACTCCCTGCCCCTTCCGCTCTCCCCACATCCATCCTGAAGTGAGCCCCTCTGGCTGATCACCAGGGTCCTGGCTGTGTCACTTTCCTGGCCATTGGAACGTCCCTGACCCAGGGTTGAATGCACAGTTGTCACATTTATCCCTAGGTGCTATTCCAGTCACTGCTGGTCAGTAGACTCCCCTCTCTGGGGGAGTCCCCCATGAGAACTCAGACCTGGAGCCCAGATGTAGAAGCTGGGGGAAAGAGCCCCAAGTCCAGCCTCTCAACTTCAGTCTGGGGAGAAACTGACCCTGCAGCCTAGAGGCTCTTAGCTGTGTGTTTCTTAGGGGGTAGCGGCCAGTAGGTGGCAGCAGTGAGAGCATGGGCTCTGCAGGGTCCCGGGACAGGAGGGAGGAGCAGCCCCAGTCAGGGCAGGGCCAGCAGAGGTCCAGCAGAGGACACGTGGCCTGACGGGGGAAGGTGCCAATCCTTCTGTGGGTCCCCAGCTCTTAGTCACTGTCTCCTCTCCTCCAGGATGGGACATCGCCGCCTCTGAGACTCGTGAGCCCAACTCTCTTCCCTAAGCTTAGGGGAAGCTGGAGCAGAGCAGAAGGAAGCAGACGACACAGTGGCGCTGGTGGGAGGAGCAGCTCAGCCTGATAGTAAGGGTTTCTGAGGCAGACGGGAGCTGAGGTTCTCTGTAAATAGCCCTCTCAGGGTTCCCCTGCCCTCCACCGAGAGTGCCAGAGTCTGCGGCTTTGAGCAGAAACCACTGGACACATTTTCTTGGGACTTCCTGCCTGATGCCCTTTGCTCTGGGTCCCTCCCCAGATTCCTGCAGCCCAGGAAAACACCGGGCTGTGGGGCTGCTCAGGAGGGCAGCCTCTGGTTATAGGAAGGCCTGGGTGAGTCCAGCACTGCACAAGTCCTCCAGTTTCATCTGATCCAGACTGGCCCCAATCTTCACCCCTCCTCTAGCACCCTGGGGCCACTCTGGGAGACGCTCCCCAACCCATGTGTAAGTGGCCTCAGATCAAGCAGGCTTCCACAGTGGCTCTGGCCTTCTAGGTGGGTCACGTCTAGAAGGATCGCTGCACATGCTGTAGCCTGCAAGAAACAGGGAGAGCTGAGGAAGGGCCCTGCCCTGACCACGGTACCCTGATGCTCCTCCACCAGCCCCAGCCCTAGCCCCTTTCTGGCTCTGCCTCTGGTTTCTTCCAGGTCATCCCCTTAGGGTTGTGCTGGGTGGTCTCTGCCTGGCCACCCTTCTCCCTAGGTGGAGGCCTCACAGTCTTTTTGACCTTTGACTGGACACAGGTCAAGGACCATACCACCTGGGACTCGAGGTCATAACCCTTAGCGCAGTTACACAGAGCTCTGCCCTCAGGAGGCTGGGAGGTGGGCTCTACTCACTTCCCATGTGTCTCTTCTTCCAAAACCCATAGACCACGATCAGCATCAGCAACGGGAGGAAGGTCAGCACCACCACAAGCACAGTGGAGTAATCATCCTGGTGCCTGAGGAGAAGGGACAGAGCGGAAGAGGGTGAGAACCAAGGTTCCCCACCCCAACCCACGTTGGAGTCAGATAATCCCAGCAACAGAACCCACAGAGCATGCCCTTCCTGGGGGAGATGCCCACCCTCTTCCTTGCGGACCTGGCCATAGGAGAAGAAAGTGGGCCACCTGGAGTTAAGGGGAGGACATCCTCAGGTAGAGGGGAACATCTCTCTACTTTGCTACCTCTCTTTCATTAGGCCCCCAAATCTGTTCCTCACTGAGGATGAGGATTCTAGGAGACTCCCATCTGTGGCGAAAGAGATCAAGATGCTTGCTGTCCTCAAGGGGCCTGCGATGCCTCTTCCCCACTCTGTCCTCTGTAGCAGATGCTGTCAGGGCATGCCTGTATCCCTTTGCCTGTATCATTTCCATGCACACAGATCATCAGCACTCCTCTTCTGTGGGCAGGAGGCTGAGGTCTTTCTCTTGTCACTGGAGCCCTCTATGCCACACACAGCAGTCAGCCCGCTGCCGATGACCGATTGGAGTTGGTGTGTAACCACCCCGGCTCCTTTGCCCTTCAGATGTGTATTTGATGCTGGATCTCAGAGTCTCCCATTGGAAATAGGCTCTTGTTGTGCACAGTAGCTGCTTGGTTAAGTACTCTTTATTGGAGGACTTCCCCGCCCTGTCCCACTCCCCCACCCTTTTTTCAGTGTTCCACATAAGATGCAAATCCCTGCCTCAGAGTCAGCTTCTCTAGGGGAACCCAAATTAAAGCATCCCCCATTTTTCACTTCCTACTCCATGAGGTCCATTCTTGCCCCATCCTCACCCTCTTCTCTCCATCCACAGACTCTTCAGGCCACCATCCCCTGACATGCTCATCTCTAACTCTCATCCCCACTGGCCCTAATTCTACAGACTCTCCTCACCCCCTACCCTCATCTCTGCAACCCTCCTCTCCCTGATACTCCTCCAACTTACCTTCTTCTTCCCAGACTCTCCTCTCCCACAGCCTTCATTTTGCCTCATCCTCATCCCCCTGACCCTAATGCCCCCAACTCTCATAGTCCCCTACTCTCATCCCTGCACCTCTCATCTCCCCCTTTTATCCCGACCCTTCTCTCTGCTGACACTTCCTCTAACCTTCTTCCTCCACACCCTGCTCCCCACTGACCCCTCCTTCTCCTTGTCCTCCTTTCCCCTGACCTTTCTCCCGGACCCTTTTTCCCCCATCCTCCTTTCCCCTGCCCCTCCTCCATATTGAGCCTCTTTTTCCCTGCCCTTCATCCCCCAACCCTTTCCCATGCCCCTCCTCCCTATTGACCATCCTCTCCCACCCTCCTTTCCCCTGCCCCTCCACCCCACTGACCCTCCTCCTCCCCCACCCTCCTTTCCCATGCCCCTCCTCCCCACTGACCCTCCTCCTTTCCCCTGCCCCTCTCCCCTCCCGCTCCTTTCCCAACTCTCATTCCCACAGACCCTCCTTTCTTCTGACCTCCTCTTTCCCCTGACCCTCTCCCCCCAACCCTCCTCTCTCCTGCCCCTCCTCCCCATTGCCATCCTTTACGTCACTTCCAGTCCTCCACCTCCCATTCAGAAGGAGGCCATACTGGGTTCCTGAGGAGCAAAAGGGGAAGGTTAGACATGAGATTTGCACCTCAAGGTCTGTATGGGCACTAAGTGCTGGTGCCACATCTGGTAAAATGTCACTCAACCCCAAGCCCCATGGGTACCTGATGGAGGGTAGTCTGTTGAGGAGAGATCTGCTGGTGAGGCAGAGCCCTGTGGTGGGCGATCTGGTGCTGGGGTGACCAGACTTAGTGGAGATGGATTCTTGGACAGCAGAGGCATTGCTGGGAGACGCAGTCACTGTCTGGGACTCCGTGGTCCTCCTGGATCCCTTTCTGGTGGTGCTGGTAGCAGTGAAGCTGTAGCCTCTCTTGGAGGCAGGTCCGGTGGAGGCCAAGAGGGTAGCCAAGGTAAAGAGTCTAGGGGTGAACACCATCATGCCAGAGGTGAAAGGGGCATCAGGGCCAGAGGTAGGGGCTTGGCCAGTTGTAACAGTTTCACTCTTGAGGATGTTGGCCAGATGTGTGAAAGGAGTGTTCCTCTCAGTTTTGGGAGCTAAAAGACAGAGAGGGAGGAAAGTTAGACTGACTTGGGGGCCTCAGTGCTGGGAGCAGGTCCTGGCAGCCCACACAGTTTCCTGGATTGTGGGATGGGTACCTGTGCTCTTCTCTTCTCCTTGACCTTGGGCCTAGGATTCTGGCTGCTGAGTGATCAGATGTGTATTTGTTCACAAAGTGATATCAGGAAGAAAGAAGTAGGCATACTGAAGAAGGGAGGGACTGTGATTTATTTTTCCCTCCCATGTCAGGCCACCTGTTCCCTCTCCATCCCCATCCCTCTCCTGTCACTTTCTCAGCCCTCTTCCTTCCCATAGGCCAAAAAGATTTCTACAAAATCATGTCAAACAGGGACTTTAGCTGTTCCATAATTGACAAGTAGGGTCCAGAGATGAGGACAAGGAGGCATCAAGGGCCCTCAAATTCCAAAGAAAGCTGCAGTTACTGGGGTCAGACACTTTCCTTAGGAGCTCACTAAGAGATATCAGACTGGTCCTGCTACACTCACCCGTCAACCCAGCCCTTTTCCACCCCATTTTCTAGAAGCCTGGGTTCTGGAGAGTGAATGACGAGGGAGGTGGAGGAGCTTTGAGGCATCCTAGCAGTGAGTGTTGGTTCTGTCTCAGCATGGAATGAGAAAGTTGGAGAGAGAGGCTGCTGCATCCCACTCCTGTGCATGGAAAGGACAATTTCCTAAGGGCCAAATGGTCATCATGGAAGGTGGCTGCACTTGAGCCATTTTTCTGGGGAAAGGAACTCAAAACAAGCAGCATTGGTGAGGATAAGGATAGAGCAAGAGGCTCACCTGGAGCCACATCATCATCCTCAGCAATGAGGGCACCCCCAAAGAACTCTTCAAAGAATTCACACATCAGTGCCTTGGGAGAGCATGTGGACACTCAGAAAGACTCTCAAAGGGCTGGCAGACAAGGAATGACATCCACCAGAGAGAACACTCCTGCAACACTCAGTTAAGCCACAAAACCATCTCTCCTTCCCTTGTTCCTACATCAACATGCTAAGAGGGCCAGGAGGAGGTAACCAAGAGGAACCCCGCCATCCCCACACCCTAAGATTTAGGATGGGGAGCTGAGCAGCCAGCAAACTTCCTTCTCCACTTTAGGTGCCTTGGGCCATACAACCTGGTCTTCAGGGGTCAGCAGAATATCCTATACTGCTAGATGACTAGAATTTGTAATTAGACTAAGGATTATTAAATTTTCTAATAACTGACAAGGTCTGCAAAAGTTGGAATCTTCACAAATTGTCCTCAAGAAGTGGAAAGTGAGATTTGACATAACATGATTAGGGGAAATGATGAGAAAAATAAAAGCATTTAATGTTCAATGTTTCTGACCCTACAAATTAAGACTTCAATGAACCAGTTTCAACTTCCCTGCATCTAACTCAGAACTGGAGAGGGGAGGAATAAGATTTGGCTCCACATTTTAGCGACAGCATTTTCCCTAGCTCAGACCCCATGGAAGATGCAGATGCGATCGGGTTAGGGGAACAGGGAAAGGTGGATAGTAAATTGCATAACTGGCTGCTTTTTTTGGACTCTTTAGCTGACTCCTTTCCCTTTTCTATCTTATAAATGCAGAAGGACCTCATGGCTTGGTGTTCCACTCTTTTTTTTTGCCTACACTCAAGGAAGAGCTTTTAGATCTTGATATTTTTTTAGCAACTTTATTGAGATATAACTCACATCCCATTTACAGTATAAAGCTCAATGGTTTTTTAGTATGTTTACAAGGTTATGCAACCACCATCATGGTGAATTTTAGAACATCCTCATCATCTCCAAAAGAAACCCCTTACTGTATATCTATGACTCTGTATTCCCTTTTCCTTCCCCTAACCCTACGCAACCACTAATCTACTTTCCGCCTCTACAGATTTCTCTAATTCCCTGGACTTTAAATAGTATCTTTATAGAGATGCTTTCAAATACATATCCCAGCTCTGACCTCTCACCTGAGCTCCAGACAGATATATCCACTGCTGGCTGCATTTCCCTACCTAGGATTCTAGAAGGTATCTTAAACTTAACATGACAAAAGAGAACTCTTGATTTTTCTTCTCCAAATTAGCTCCTCTTTCAGATTTACCCTTTGCGATCAATGGTACCATCATCCACCCGATGATCAAATAGAAAACCTTGGATCATCCATGATTCCTCCTCTTGGCTCACCTCTCAATTGAGCAAATCCTGTCCTACCTCCAAAATGTATGAACTGAACAGAAAGTCTGAAAAACAGACTTGAGCCCATTCACGTCTCTCTGCCACTAGTGCTTACATTGTACTCCAAGCCACTGTTATTTCCTGCCAGATGCCCACAGTGGCCTCTCTGACCGTGTTCATCCTCAACAAGGGGCCGCTACATTCTTAAAAACAAGTCACGACATACTCTCTGAGCTCTCTATTACCTTCCTCTTATACCCAAATGCCATCATATGGTCTTCAGGGCTGCCTGACTCTCCAACCCCATCATTTACTGTCCCATGCTCACATGGAGTCATTAAATACGCCTTATACAAGCCAAGCTCCTTCTGATCTCAGGACCTTTGCACATGCAGCTCTCACCACAAAGTGCCCTTCAAAGCACCAAGATTTCAACAGGGCTGGAGAACGCTCACCATTTAGGGCTCTGTTTGGTGTCATATACTCAGGAAGGTGTACTTCAGTAGCTCCCCCATCACTGAGTCATTCCTTAGTTCATGAATACCTCTAGTTACCTGCAATTATTTGAAACACTTCCTAGTTTCTTGTGAACACCTCTTGTTATCTGCTGTTGTTTGCCTGGATAGTAAGTGTGCCTGTCCTCTCCCATAGGACAGGACTGTGAGTGTTTTTGCTCACTCTTGTCTCCTTAGAGCCTAGAATAGTGTCTATCACATAATAGGGGCTGAGTGAATTATGGCGAAGCAATGAGTGAATGAAACACAGCACAGACAGTCCCAAGGTTGAACCTCATCTCAGCCACCTGCTAGCTCTGGGACCCTGGACAAGCTCAGAGTCACATTGGGTTTTCAGGTCTCATTATCCTCATCTGTAAATGGTGACAATAGTGTCGTGAATAGTGCCATAAAGGCACTCTGAAAACACTACAGTGCCACATGACCACGGATGGGTTACTATCCTTATCATCTCTGATGTTAGTGGAGTGTAGGGCAGGGAGGGCTCCCTCCACCCATCCCAGTGCCCCTCCAGCCCACTCACCTGGAGACACGTCCAGCCAGATGCCCAACATGGGGTACAGGGTCCCGGAGCTGTTGCGCATGCACCAGTATCGGCCCGAGTCCTGGAGAGTGAGGGCCGTCATGGTGATGTTGACCACCTTGGCCTGGGCATCGTCCTGCAGCAAGTAGCGGGGTCCCTTCGCCCAGACTCGGGTGAAGCCAGGCTCACACTTCCTCCTCCTGATTTTGCACCAAACCTTGCCGTCCACACGATTTCTGTAGCCCTTGTAGGAGCACAACACAGACAGAGTCTCCCCTTCAAAGTGCCTCACTTTTGTGTATGCGCTCTCGGCGGGGGGGCCTGGGGAAGAGACAAGGCTCGTTGGATAAGGTCTGGCAAGAGCAGAGGAAGAAGGCATCGTGAAAGCTGAAGATCATGGTGAAGGGTCACGTGGATATTGTCCTGCTGTCATGGAACCCACATGATTGAGGGGGAAATACAGCCCCACCCCAGGGAGCTTGCCCCAGTCTGAAGGGTGGTACACCAGCCCTGAAAACAGCTGGCACCCAGTATTATGGGGGAGACACAGGCCCCTCCCTCAGGAAGCTTTCAGTCTGGTGGAGGAGGCAGGTTTATCCCTCAGGGAGTCTCAGTCTAATGGAGGAAACACAGCCCTGACACTCGGAGCTCCATCAGACACACCCCTTTCCTCATGGTATTCTCTAGTCTGATGGGAGAGGGACAAGCTCTGCCTTCAGGGATTCCCAGGGAATTCTTGTGGGATAGACTCAGGTCACGCCCTCGGTAAGATAGATGCAGAGACACAAACACAAGTCATTACGTTCTGAAATTCCAGTGCCCAACTAATTAGGTACATAAGAAAATCCAGTATTTGAAAAAATCATGAATAGTTCTTTATTTCATAAATATGCTCACTGAAGTCCTCTTTAAAGAATAACCTGCCTTAGTTCATTCTATCTGGTGTTTACTTTTAAAATATTCTAGTTACATAAAACCCACAGGTGAAGCCTGTCCAAATGTACATGTAAACAAACTCCCAATGGAGTGCGAACCACAGGATTCACCAATTGTTCATGTTCCATCTGCAGTGTCTTGCTCTCTATGCTGAGGTGTAAGATGTGGTCCAAGCCTTCAGAACCCACAGTCTGGTGGAGAGAGAGCAGAACTGCTGTGTGGGGTGACTCGGGACAGATGGAGGGAGAGAGCTGCCGGGGGTCCCTTCACCCCTGCGCCCAACCTAAGCTCAGCACTGATTCTTCTGATAATTTTACCCCAGAGCCTTTCATAAACACACATTAAAAAAAAACTTTACAGCAGAGTAGAGAATAGAGAGCCCACATTTTAGAGTCAAAATAAACAAGGGCTGAAACCCTGTTTCTACCACTTAACTGTGTGATCAGGGCACGTGTTTGATACTGAAATATCAAAACAGACACTTGTCACTTGACTGATACAGAAACAGATATATTTCTGTGTCAGTCAAGTGACAACAGCACCACACCGCTCACAGGTTGCTGTGAGAATTCTGCCCCAGGTCAGTGCTTTGCACACTGTGGGTGCTCAATGCATGCTTCCTTTTCCCACATGCAGGGGGCTCCCAGTTCCCCCAGTGGAACCCAGAGCTATGAAAGTCAAGGGCCCAGAACCCAGGACATCTGTCCCGCTTCCCACCCAGCAGTTACTAGTTCTGAGGCTCTGTGTGAGGCAGCGCCCTCTCTGAACATCCCTCTGTTCCTTGCAAACTAAACAGAATGATCTAACTCCATTGCTTGGTGGATGAGCCCAGAATTTCTGAGCACAGGAGAGACCCCTTTCTGCCCTGGCAGTGGGAAGCTGCCTCTCTATCCTCTGGGAGGTGCAGACCTCCAGAGGTGGGTGACCCTGGGATGGGTCTCCAGGGCACTGTGTTCACGTGTGCCTACAACTCCCACCCTTCTTACCGGCAGTGGTGAGTGAGTTTTGCCAACACCCACTATGCCCAGAACTGAACAGGAAGTGGTAACTTGGTTGCTATGGCAGCAAGCGGGCAGGAACGGGTGAGGTCCCTCAAGGAGCACTGGTATATGTAAGGTGGGAAAGGCATTCAGAGATTGGTCTCTTCAGGACAGAGGCAAGGACAGGATGTGGCATCAGCATTTCAAGTAAAATGCTCCAATTCAGTTCAAAGCACTCATGATGCAATGACTGCTGTCATAACTAAACAGGCTTCCTGACACAGGCCGGGCCGAGGTGGCTATTTGTGTGAGGAAATAAAGTGACGCTGCTTTGAAGCCCGAAGAAGCCTAGGAGATAAAGGGGCCAACGCAGAGAGGGTCCAGAGCTTTATCTTAGCCTGGGAGGCTTGGATTAGCTTTGCCTGGGGCCTGATCTTAGCATAAAGAGCTACTAAGTCAGCACTAATCTTCTTCCCCAACCCACAAAACACAAGAAAATTGCAGGTAAGGAGGTTTAGATAAAAGGCCCTGTGCTCCTGCCTCTGTTCCCACTCCCTCCTCCACAAGGCAGCCCCTTCTCCCCTCACCTGAGATGCAGCCCTGTGGCCACGGCAGCAGCAGCAGCAGCAGCAGGAGCGAAGGGACCATGGCTCCATCCAGCTGGGCAGTCACAGGCCCAGCAAGGGGCCACGGCACCCCGGGGATCCAAGGTGAGGGCCCAGCCGACACAGGACGTGCCACCTGGGCCTGCCAGGGAAGGACGTGGGGTTCTAAAAGTGAAGATACCCATTTAGGGAAGTGAGGCAGTGTGGGACCCACTGTCCCCAGCTGACCGCAGGAGCCCATAGAGCCTATCGCAAGGGCAAGGGCGGTGCTGGCAGCTGTTTCCGCCCTTTTCCTCGGAACTTCAGGCAGGTGTGGCTGCTCCACCCAGTATGCAGGCCAAGCCCAGGTTGGGCTAACAGTCAGAGGGCTCCCAGCCCTTCCCAACCTCCCCCAGGAACTGGTCCCTAGGATCCAGCTATGGCGTTGAGGTGAGGCTTCCGGAACCTCAGGTACAGACTTTCCTGGAATCTTCTGGGCTCAGAGACCCAGGAGTACAGGCTCTCAGGCTGAGATGGAGCATCTCAGACCCTAGTTTCTTACATACACACATTCACAGGGAAGTTCGTGTCAACTCTCATTCATTCATTCATTGCAGTTGCATTCTTCCTGTTCCTTCCTCTCTCTCTCTCTCCCAGGTTCCTGTCTGCTCAGAACAGTCACTTTGTGTTTACTGTTGCGAATGACCTCTTACAGGCTCACTTGAAATCTTACTTTTGTCAAGGGGAAAAAAAAATCCAAATTGTAGGACTCAGGGCATAACGTTTGGGTAGAGGGAGGGGTTTCTGTACTCTCACACATGAGTGTGTGTGCACATGCACTCACACTCAATCTCACTTTCTCTTTTATTCACTTTCACACAAACACACACACACATGCCCATGCACAGAGTCTCACATACACCCCAACGGCCCCTCCTCTGCCCTACCCCTGCATCTCCTGTCTCTATTCCTCTCTCTGCCTCTCCTCCTGTCGTCTCTACTCACCATCAGCTCCCTCTACACTCCTAGTCCCTCCCACAGGCTTCCTAAAGCCACCACAGGGCTTCCCCTCATCCACCTCACCTCCAGAGCCCTTTCCTCCTGTGCCTCCAGCCTCCATCAGCACACAGGCAAGCACCCTCCACTTCCTCCTGCTCAACCCTATCTCGCCTGTGCAGCCAACAGCTCCAGTGGAAATGACCCAGCACTTGGCCCAAGACCTCACCCTTCACTTACCCCAAGGCCTAGAGTCAGAAGCATCGATTTCTGATGTCCAGTAGCTGTGTCATCTGCTCCTTCAGTGTGTGGGGGTCCAGTTGGACCCCCATGGTTATGTATGCTCCCCCTACTCACCAGTGCTACGTTTCTACTCCTTAGATGGGACTGTCAAAAAGTAAACTGAGGCACAATAAAAATTTAAACGGATTATTTGAGCAAACAACAATTCATGAATCAGGCAGCTCCAAACAGAACAGGTGGAGGAACTCCACTGGCGGGACGCAAGGGCAAGGCTCCCACAGGACGAGTAAAGCGAAGAAAATATTTAATTGGTTACAGTTCTACAGTTCCCCTAGTTGCCCTAGCCTGTTGGAAAGACACTACTTATTTATATAAGTTCATTGGCTTCTTCTGACTGGTTGAGCTTAAGTTCTGTTCTTCCTTAATACACACATTTATAAGAAATAGCGCAAGTTAAGTTTCACTGATGTTTGCAAATCAAGCAAGGTTGAGATCACTTATGAGGCCTGACTGATTTTGTCTGCTCAGGGACTCTTCAGGCCTGGTCTCCATTTTCATTAATTTTAACAGGACTCAAAGCAAAAAGTCCTCAAGTTTGCATGGTCACAATCTTAAACTGACCTTGAACCCCCAAACCCCAAGCAAAGAATTTTATCTAGACTAACCCTAAACTTTTATAGTCTCTCAACTCATTCATTCATTTGTTCCTTCCCACAACCTAATTGCTATGCATGGGGCTTGGTAGGCACTGGGGACATGGGAATGAGATACAGTCGCATGGCCACAATCTTAAACTGATCTGGAACCCCCAAACCCCAAGTTAAGGATTTTATCTTAACTAACCCTAAACTTTTATAGTCTCTCCACTCATTCATTCATTTGTTCCTTCCCACTATCTCATTGCTATGCATGGGACTAGGTAGGCACTGGGGGCACGGGAATGAGATACAGTTGTCACTTGAGACGTCTCCACTTACAGATGTGTTTTGTTTTCCTTTTTCACCCTTCCTTTTTCAATGTTTCCCACCCAGTACTCAGAACATCCTGAGCTCCCTAAGTTCAGAGGCCATCTCCCTCCCTAACGTACACAGTATGCTCCTTCATTCCTTCCCCCAACAGAACAGTAAGTTGCTTCAGGAGTGGGGATTTTTCTCTTGTGGGACTTCAAGTGCCTGGAATCTGTGCTTCTATGAAACCCCTGCAGTGTGCCCAGTGCTGAGCCAGTGATCATCAAAAGTGTGACCCTTGGGATCACTGTGCTGATGAGGGTGGAAGGAATCAAACACTCATTCACCAATCAGGGAAGTATCCACTGGATGCAATCTTTCTTGAGAGAAATTTGGAAGCATTCATCAAAATTGTTAAAAATATGTATGTATTAGACTTATACATCCATCATTTGATTTAACACAGCAGTGTGTTTTGCCTTTATATTTATTTTTCCCTTGAGAAAATTAAGGTCTGATCTACATAGAGTACTATTTACCCTTTTTAATGAACAGTTCTGCAAGTTCTAGAGACTTGCATCCAATGCCATAATGGAGACAGAGAAGAGTGCCATCATCTCCAAAACTTTCCCCTGCCCCTTGTCAGTCATCCCTTCAGTCCCGGACAAACACTGATCTGCTGGGGTTTTTTTCCTATCGTTTCTCTCTTTTCAGAATGGAAATAGGACAGTATGAAGAACTTTCTGTTGACTTCTTTTGATTAAGTCTAACATATAATTTTTGTGGATCATATTTTTATGTCATATCTGATAAATCTTTGCTTAACTCAAGGTCATGATGATTTTTTCAACAGTTCTGTGAGATATAATTCACATAATATAATACTGACCCTGCTGGGTGCAGTGGCTCACGCCTGTAATTCCAGCATTTTGGAAGGCCAAGATGGGAAGATCACAACGTTAGGAGTTTGAGACCAGCCTGACCAACATAGAGAAACCCTGTCTCTACTAAAAATATAATAATACAAAAATACAGAAATACATCATTTCAGGCTCCTGTAATCCCAGCTAATCAGGAGGCTGAGGCAGGAGAATCGCTTGAATGCCAGAGGTGGAGGTTGTGGTGAGCTGAGACCGTACCACTGCACTCCAGCCTGGGTGACAAGAGCAAAACTATGTGTCAAGAATAAATAAATAAATAAAATAAATGTGACCCATCTAGAGCATACAATTCAGTGGTTTTCAATATATTCACTGAGTTGTACAACTAACACCACAATCCAATTTTACAGCATCTTCATGTCCCCCCAAAGAAACCCCATGCCCATTGGCAGGCACTCCCTGTATCAGTTTCCTATTACTGCAGACTTGGTGGCTTAAAGCAATGGTACGTGATTATCTCACCGTTCTGAAGGCAGAAGTCTGAAGTCAGTCTCGCCGTATTGCCATGAAGATGTCAACAGGGCTGCAGTCTCTCCGGAGACCCTAGGGAAGAATTCGTTCCTTGCCTTTCCAGCTTCAGGTAGCTGCCAGCATCTTTTGGTTTCACTGTTTTACTCCAGTCTTCAAGGCCAGCATCTTCAATCTTGCTCTGCTCCAACCTCACATCACTTTCTCCTGTTTGTGTTCAAATCCCCCTCTGCCTGTTACATAAGGATACACGTGATTGCATTCCGTGCTCATCTGCGTAATCTCCCCATCTCAAGATGTTTAACTTACTCACGTCAGCAAAGATCCTTTTTTTTTTTTTTTTTTTTTTTTTTGCCATATGCGGTAATAATCACAGGTTCCAGGGACTAGGACACAGATTTTTTGTTTTTTTGGTCGACAGTTCACAGTTTATGGACACAGATATTTTTTAAGAAGCCATTTATTTATCAGCTTACCACAGTCCTCATTCCTACAGTCCCAGGCAACCACCAATGTTTTGTCTTGATAGATATATCAGTTCTGGAGATGTCATGAAAATGTAATTGAATAATTATTCTTTCACTTAGCATAATGTTTTCCAGGCATGTCCATGTTGTAGGTATACTTGTGCTATAGATTGTATTAGTACCTCACTCCTTTTAAAGGCTGAATAATATTCCACTGAAGGGATATATATGTTTCTTGCATATGGTAATATTTGTCAGGTGACAGCTATTTTGTTTCCACTGTTTAGCTATTAGAAACAGTGTTACTGTGACTATTCATGTACAAGTTTTCATGTGGACATGCGTTTTCATTTCTCTTGAATACATAACCAATAGTAGAACTACTGGGTCATATGGCAACTCTGTTTTTTAACATTTTTAAGAACTACCCGGCCGGGCACGGTGGCTCAAGCCTGTAATCCCAGCACTTTGGGAGGCCGAGGCGGGTGGATCATGAGGTCAAGAGATCAAGACCATCCTGGTCAACGTGGTGAAATCCCGTCTCTACTAAAAAAAAAAAATACAAAAAATTAGCTGGGTATGGTGGCGCGTGCCTGTAATCCCAGCTACTCGGGAGGCTGAGGCAGGAGAATTGCCTGAACCCAGGAAGCGGAGATTGCGGTGAGCCGAGATCGTGCCATTGCACTCCAGCCTGGGTAACAAGAGAGAAATTCCGTCTCAAAGAAAAAAGAACTACCCAATAGTTTTACAAAGTGGCTACAACTTTGACACCCTCTCCAGCAATGTAGGAGTGTTCTCCTTTCTCTACAATCTCTCCAACACTTATATTGGCTTTCTGTTTATAGCCATCCAGCAGATGTACCCAAGTTTTGAATTGTAGTTACCTAACGACTAATGATATTGAGCATCCTCACCTTGAACATGTACAATGTGCTCATTTGTATGTCCTTGGAGAAATGTTTCTTCAGTCGGGCTGTTTGTCTTTTACAGCATTTGCACAACAATGTGTCACATTTTTCTGGCTTCCATTGTTTCAGATGAGAAATTCACTACAATTAGAAATGGTATTCCTTTATAAATGATTATTTCTCTCTGTCTGTTTTTAAGGTATTTTCTTTGTCTTCACTTCTCAGAAGTTTATTTATGCTGTGTCTTGGTGTGTATTTCTTTGGGCTTATTATATCTGGGATCGAATCAGATTCTTGAATTTGTAGCTTTAGATCTTTGGCCAAATTTGATTAGTTTGGACATTTCTTTGAATATATTTTCAGACCCACATTTTTGTCTCCTTTCCTTCTGGGACTCTGATGATGCAAAGGCTAGCGCTTACATTAATGTCCATAGACAGCTGAGATTATATGCATTTATTTTCAGTCTGTTTTCTCAGTCTGCCTTCCAGTTAACTAATTACATCCTCTCTCATCTCCACTCTCCTATGGATTCCATGTAGTGAGCTTTTAATTTTAGTTATTGTTGTTTTTAGTTCCCACATATTTTTTGTTATTCTGTTCCCAGAAGAAGAAAAAAAAGAGTAAATGGAGCAGAGGAACTATTAATATTTGAAAAAGCAGTACCAAGAATTTTTCAGAATTAAACAAATATCTACAACATCAGATCAAATGTGTTCAGAGAGTACACATTTGGATAATATAATGAATAACTGAATATCCCATACTAAACACATTATAATAAGAACTCAAAGAGAAAATTATTAGCATGTTCCAGAGATAAAAGAGGTCAGTAAAGATGAATAACCAACAGATTGCTATCAGGCATTTCCATAGCAACACTAAGAAGGTAAGAAAACAATGAAATATGTTCAAAATTTTGAAAAAGTATATGTCTTTTACATGTTAACTTATGACACAGAATTTGCCACCCACTTGAAAACTGTGGTTAAGAAATTTATGACAAATTTGAGGCTAAGAATGTTAAGCTAAAAGAGTTAAAAGTTATAACTAAATGCTAGTCTTAGCATCTGATTGAGGGAGATGTATTTTTGTTTAGTTCACTTTTATCCCATTACCAAAGTTCTTTAAGTAAAGCTCAATATTTCCGTACTGTAAGAGAACCTGTCCCAATCTGCTGCAGTTGTATAAGTTCAATAAATCGAGAGAGGACTGGGTTCAGCCACATACCACTGAACACCAAATAGCAGTGGCTTCAGCCCACAAGCGTTTGTTTTTAGGTATCATTTTCATTATACAAATTCCCAAACATACACAAAAGCATCTCACAAAAAAGAGATAATCGGCCAGGCATGGTGGCTCATACCTGTAATCCCTGCACTCTGGAAGGCCAAGGCGAGTGGATCACTACCAGCCTGGCCAACATGATGAAACCCCGTCTTTACTAAAAATACAAAAAATTAGCCAGGTATGGTGGTGGCTGCCTGTAATCCCAGCTACTCGGGAGGCTGAGGCAGGAGAATCGCTTGAATCTAGGGGGCGGAGGCTACAGTGAGCTGAGATTATGTCACTGCACTCCAGCCGGGGCAACAAGAGCAAAACTCCATCTCAAAAAAAAAAAAAAAAAAAACAAGAGAGGGAGATAATCATACATGTACACCCCATTTAGCATCACTCAGCTACATTTATTCTTGCCTTCCTTTTTTTTTAAATTGGCAATACCATTCTATACACGGTGCTGTGTACTTCACATAGACTCACAGAAAACATAAAATCTCTAGTATCTAGATTCATGTTTTGGGCAACACAGCTGGAAGCATTATTTAGACATCTGAGATCCTAAAACCCAGCTGATGCCACCTGGGTATAAGTCCTAAAGGAAGTCTCACCTGATTCCACCAGAGAACATGATGGACAATATTTATCACAGCATTGTTTGCGACATTGAGAAGGGAAGGCAAAATAGCACATGCAGCCTGAGTTCTGAATGATACACTGTGGGATATGTACACAATGGAATAAGCAATGAAAAAGTGGGCTGTGTATATATACCCAGGAAGGAGCAAAACAAATATATGAAAAAGGTCTATCACAATTTCTTATATCTAAGTTAAAATACAGCCACAGGAAAAAAAATACTGCATGCTTTATAAGAATGGATTCAAATTTAAGGTTACATGTCAAATGCATTAGAGAGCTTGCTCAGAAGGGAAGGCAACTGGAAATAGGGAATGAGGATTAAAAAAATAAAGAAAGCAAAAGTGTTGCCTCTCACAGATAGATGATGGTCACGTGGCAGGAGTTGAGATATACATGAAGAGACTTCCATTTGATGCCTGTATTAGTCCATTTTCATACTGCTCTGAAGAAACACCTGAGACTGGGTAATTCATAAAGAAAAAGAGGTTTGATGGACTCACAGCTCCACATGACTGGATAGACCTCACAATCATGGTGGAAGGTGAAGGAGGAACAAAGGCACATCTTAGATGGTAGCAGAGAGCATGGAAAAACAGGAAGGGAAAACCTACCTCCATGATTCAATTACCTCCCACTAGGTCCCTCCCACAACACGTGGTGATTATGGGAGCTACAATTCAAGATGAGCGACTTGGCTGGGGACACAACCAAACCACAGCAATGCCCTTCCCCAAAAAGAGTGAAAGAAAATGGTACTCCCTTTATGGTAGCCTTGTTTAGGGCTGTCATTCAGCTGATGCACTGGTACCCCAGGTTGGTTGCTCATGGTGGACCCCCATTCTGAATGGCCAATCCCAGCCTTGCTAGATGTTACCTGGTTGAAAAATGACTGTGCCTCTTCTTTCTTCACAGATATGTGCTCCTCTTCTGTTCCCTGAAGATTTATCTGTTACTCAACATCAATAATGTTAGTTCAACTTGATTTTTCACTTTTAGGCTATGAGTCTCCTCACATGTTAAACAAACAGGTTTTTGGCCCCTAATGATCAGATTCCATTGAATGTTCTGGTCCTGTTTTAGGCTGCTGAATTGACTGCTCTCATCATTTGAACACATCTCATTTTTTCTTTTACTTCTAGAACTTCCTCAGTTTCCAGTCTGCTAATTACAACCTTTCTTAGTTTCAATTTTATCATTTATTTTTAAGTCATTTCTCTCTCATTTAGGATATCTGGGGCGGGAGATAAGGAGGGGGAGGGGATACATCTGCCCTCTTGCTCAGTTGTACCTGACACATTTCAGTTCAGAGGCTGAATTTAATTAAGCACAAAAGGAAATTCATAGAACTCTCAGGCAGAGCACAGGGAACAAACGGAAAACGTGAGGCATCCTGGAGACCTGCTGAGGCAGGGCTGAGAGAACCACAGAGTGTTGGAGAGGAGGAGCCGGCGCAGCTGAAGATGCTGAGCTGGGCATTGACCCGGATGCAGAAACCCCCGCCAGGGTCTTCCCAATGGCGGAAGTAGATGTAAGAGGGCTCAGTGCAGGGGTGAGAGGTCACCACCAGGGAGATCGGGGGGCTGAAAGTTCTCTCCAACGGGCTTGGCACTGGCCTTTCCTCAAGGGAAGGTGGGGCCCGATGCTTAGAGCGGCTCCCAATAGCTGGACGGGGAAGAACCGGGATTCCTCGTGGATCCACGCTGCGGCTCACGCACCCAAGGGACCTGGGCAGGGCTGGCCTGGGACAATCAGAAACCTCCATCACTACTGTCCTGAGATGGGACAAGAGGAGGAAAGTCAGGAATGGAAGTGATGCTTTCCCCGACCCTCTTTTCTGCCCCTTTGTCTCACCCTGTTCCTGTTACCTGTTCTTCCTCTTTTCCTCCTCTTTCTCCCTGTCACCTGCTTCCTGCCCTGCCCCTTTCTGTTTCCTAAACCTTCTGCCCAGGCACTCTCAGCTTTGTCCTTCTGGCATTGTCCTCTCAAGACAAAGACAGAGGCAAAGCCCTGGAATGGGACTCCTGGAAAGTCTCTGTATTTTTCTGTCTCTGTCTTTAAGAAGGCAGCAATTGCAAGTAAACACATATTAAAATTGTTCTCAGCTGTCATTTTTCCTGCCTCTGTGATCTGGCTGCTTCTTCCTAGCCATCTTTCTAGAAACAGAATCTGGCTCCAGCTCCATTGTCCCCCAGGCCAAACCCAGGCCCCACTCACCGGTGGCACCTGCAGGTCAGGAGCACAAACGGGACTCACGGCATCAGCCCCTTGGTCAGGAGGAGTCCACACAGAACAAAGACCAGGAGTCTGGGGCCAGCTGAGCCAAGGCAGAGGGGGGCACTTGATTTCCTGCAGTGGGGAAGGAGAAAAAAGGATGGACTTGGGCCAGGATGTCACCTGCTTCTGTGGTGTCCCTAAAGCAGGCCCCTTGTGGCTGGAGCTGTTTGTATAAGGGCCCACCCCGAATTGACTATGACACAGGGGTGTGGGGCAGAGGCCACTGAGCTCTCTGGGACTGAGAGGAGACCTGGTCAGAAGGAACCTCAAAGTCTCCAGTGGAGGAAAATGCTGCCAGAGGAAGAACAAGGGATTGGAGTTTAGGGAAGGGAAGGGATGGAACCAGGGGAGCGGGAACTCTCCCTAATCAGGTCAGGTAGGACAGGACCATCAGGAGCCTCTTAGGAATCAGAGCCAGGTGCATCTTCAAGACCAGCCAGATATTACACCTGAAGGAAAGAGGCCCAGAGACTGCACGGGACCTGAGCAGACCCTTACAAGCAGTGACAGAGTACAGACCTAAACCTCCTGTCTGCTGATCCCAGGGATCCTCCCAGATACCCTCTGTGTGGCCCCTACTCCTGGCCTAGCTCTGATTCTGGGACTTCCTATCCCAGCAAATCTGCTTTTTTCTAGTGGCCTTAGTAGCTTTCTGCTTCAGTATTATTATATGGTAAAGCCAGTGAGCTCTTTTTATATCCACGTTTTTATGACTGACTTAGCCAGTTATGTATCTTCTTTTTTATTTGGTATCATTTTAGAGTAAAATTTTCAAGTTCTTTGCAGAAGTAAACAAGTTGTGTTTGGGATTACATTGAAAGACTTCTTAATTTGGGGGAAACTGACGTCTCTACAATATTATTGCTTCTTCCAAAGTCATGTATTATTTCTATTTATTCAGATCACCTGTCAATTTTTAACATTTTATACTTTTCTCCAAATAGGTCTTGCTTAAATTAATTCTTTCTAGAAACTTTATAGACTTTGTGACTGTAATGAAAACGATCTTATTTTTCTAACTAATTATTCCTCATAGAGGTCTTGTAATGTGTGTCCGTTACTTTTGTATCCGGCAGCCTTGCTAAACTCTCTTGTGAAATCTAATGGTTTGTTGTTTCTCATTCTTTTTCTGGGTAGATGATCCCATCATGTACCAGTCACGACAGTTTTTCCCTCTTCTTGTCTAATCTTCCTTCCTGTAACCTGTTTTCCTTTCCTTCAGGCATTGATCAGAACCTCTAATATTATAGAAGACATTAATGGTAGCTGTGGAAATCCTTAATTTGAGTTTATGCTTTCTCTACTAAACAATGTTTATTGTGATCATTGTTGTACAAACTTTACCAAGTTATCTGTTCTTATTACTATTTTATAAGAGCTTTTTCATATGACATAATGTGCTGAAGGTTCCCAAATGTATTTTGTGCTTCAGTTGACTTTTTTCCTGTAGTTTATGAGTTTGGTTTATTTATATTAATAAATGTTTTAATCTAAGATCACTTATATTAGTAAGTAACGTAATCTAAGATTAGATTTTCTGAAGTTGAACAATCCTTTCTGTTTTGTGATAAAACTCTACTCAATCATAATACAGTCTTCTTTTTGATACACTCCTGAATTCAGTCAGCTAACAGTAATTTGTGAATTGGCTCCATGTTCATCAGAGAAATGGACCTGTAATTTAGTTTTCTTGTATCCCCCGTAACTGGTTTTGAGACTTTGATGACACTAGCCCCTTCAAATGACCTGGGCTGATTCCACTTCTCTTCTATTTTCTGCAACATCTTGTATGAAATATCAATCAAATGTTTCTAAAAGATTGTGTTACCTGTGAAACCATGTGAGTCTTGAATTTTCTGTGAGGATGGTGCTTATCTAACATTTCAGTTTTCTTATTTATTAATCTATTGAAATCTGTTTCTTCTTGTGTTAGTCTTCGCAGTTCATATATTTAGAAATTTGTGCACTTCTAAGATTTAAAATGGCAAGATTTTGTTCAGAACATTGGATACAACGAGTTCTAAATTCATCTTCAAAGAATCAGTATGTCAGTGTGTTCAGTTCTTTGTCCTCCATTTTAAAGTTTAACTTCCTCGTGCTTTCAGTAAGCAATCATTTTCACCAGTTCTAATCGGTAGTTCACATCTGTTCCCCTAATCCCCTACTCCATCCTGACTCATCCAGGTCACCTGCTTTGCCCTGAGTCATCCCTGCTTACCTGCTCCGTCCTGACTCATCCTGGTCACCTGCTTTGCCCTGAGTTGTCCCTGCTCACCTGCTCCGTCCTGACTCATCCTGGTCACCTGCTTTGCCCTGAGTCATCCCTGCTCACCCGCTCTGACCTGAGTCACCTGTTCCATAACCAGTTTTCCCGCCACTCACTCGCCCTGCCATTCTGGCTCATACTCCTGCTCTCGTTAAAATAGCCAATCAGAATTAGCTTAGACTGTGTGGTCTAACCCTGGCCAATTGGGGAACAAAGCAGCAGTAAGGGCTACCTGCATCAAGTATAAGAACCCCTTCACCTCCCTTGTCCAGGTGTGTGCTGGTCATTGCTCCATCTGGGAGATGCACCCTTCTGTAGCAGAAAATTGCCTTGCTGACATAATTTATATTTGAGTGCTACTTCTTTCATGGCACTGAAAATTTACATGTAGCACTAATTTATTTATTTTAAAATCTCTATAGAATGAATGCATGGTAATTTTCTTTTTTTTCTTCAATTTGTTGTTATCATCTCCTTTTATCTTCATTTGTCTTGACAACAATATGGCTATCTTTTTAAACTTTCAAAGAATGAATTATGACTTTCTTTGATCTTCATTTTCAACCATTTAATTTATTTCAGCTGTTACCATGATTCTTTCCCTCCTTTATGATTCTTTGGGCTTGCTCTGACACTCATGTTCCATCTTCTTAAGATGCTTCCTTAGCTCATTAATTGGAAAACTTCCATGTTTTCCAACAAATGTATTCAAAGCTACTAACTGCTCTCTGATATTAACTATGCCCCATACTTTTTTATATGTAGTGGTCATATATCAAAATATATTTTTTTACATACTTAATAATTCACATATGAATGTATTAATAATTAGTTTGAAAAGTACTATTTTACCTTTACTTCTCTTATGCATTCCTTTTTTAAAAAATTTTTTTTAGAAGATGGGTTTTCACCATGTTGGTCAGGCTGATCTTGAACACCCAACCTCAGGTGATCCACCCACCTTGGCATTCAAAGCGCTTGGATTACAGGTATGAGCCACCACTCCCAGCCCTCTTATGCATTGCTAATGTCATTGCGTTAGGTTTGGAGAATAGATTCTGTGTCGTATTGATTCCCTGCAATTTCTTCACACTTCTTTTATGTCTTCATACAAGGTGTCCTTTTGTAAATACACTCCATGTACTTTACAGAAGGTATACTATCTATTTTTAATTATGGAGAGGGTTATAAACATGCATTTGTACTTATGCATAGTTTGAATAATATGTATTTATGAATACTGTATTTTATAAAATATACATAATATGTTTATGTAGGTTAGAACATTTTTCAATCTTAAACTACATGTTTTTTTTTCTTAAACTACATGTTTACATATTTGAAAATATTTATTTAAAATTATAATTTATTACATATTTATCCTATATTCTTATATATCTGATTATATATATATAACATATTTATAAATAGTATATGATGGCATAGTACCTGGAATTCATTAGTTATTTGGCTTAGACCTTAAACCCCTCTATTTGGTTTTTGTCTCATTGGTCTTTGTTCCTCTGAGAGGTATGTGAACCTCCAACTACAATAGCTAATATTTACTTCTTGCATTTTTGATAGTGTTGCTTCATATATCTCAGGGCCAAAATTTAGGCCCACGTGTGTTTATAATGGCTCTATTTCCACATTCAAGTGCATCGTTCATCAGTATATGTTACATATCTTTGTCTATTTTATAGACATATGTATAGACATAATATTTTATCTTAAATTCTATTTTGTTCAATATTAAGAGTGCCAGAACAGTTTATTTTGTTTCCTAATAGTCAAATATATTTTTCTGACTTTTTCAACTTTTTAAGATCTTTTTGTTAGTATATTTAACTCTTATAACATTGCAATTTCAAAACTCAAACGGTGTCTCTGTCCTTATCTTGTAAGTTTAATCCACTTAAATTTATTGGAATTGCATTTATGTTAGGACTTACTTCTACCTTTTTATTTCCTATTTTCATTTATTGTGCTTAATTTTTTTTAAATTCATATTGAACTTTCCTTTGGCTAGAGTTTCATTTTGCTGGATGAAAGGATAGACATTCTCTTGATGTAAACTGAAGACTCATATCTACATTGATTTAATACAGTTGCTACATTGAGCTTGTCTCATGAGACAAGTACCCAACCATCCTTTCATGGGCTTCTAGTGTGTACTTCTCACCCCATGTTGATATTGTCTAGTACAGGGGTCCCCAACCCCTGAGCCACAGACCAGTATCAGTTTCTGGCCTGTTAGGAATCAGGCCACACAGCAAGAGGTGTGTGGTGGACAAGTGAGATAAATTCAATCTGTATTCACAGCTTCTCCCCCTCACCTGCATCACTGCCTGATCTCCACCTTCTGTCAGAGCAGTGGTGGCATTAGATTCTGCAGTAGCACAAACTCTATTGCGAACTGCACATACCAGGGATCTAGGTTGCATGCTCCTTATGAAAATCAAACACCTGATGATCTGTCACTGTCTCACATCACCCCAACATGAGACTGTCTAGTTGCAGGAAAACAAGCTCAGGGTTCCCACAGATTCTACATTATGGTGAGTTGTATAATTACTTTATTATATACTGCAATGTAATAATAATAAAGTGCACAATAACAATAATGCGCTTGAATCATCCTGAAATCATCCCCCTGTCCTAGTCATAGAGAACTTGTCTTCCATGAAACCAGTCCCTGGTGCCAAAAAGTTGGGGATCACTGGTCTAGAATGTTATTTTTCAGTGATCGTGAATGTATTTTCTCTTGTTCTTCATTTTGCTCTTAGCTGCCTTCTCTATGAATCAAGAAAAGATAAAAATAAACTTTGTCAAGACGCTGGGCACACCTCTTGCAGCATCTCCAGGGGTTACTTTTCATCCCAGCGGAGTCTTTCCTCCAGGACCATTTTCAGTCAGGATCTTTGCATGTGGCTAACCTTTTGAGGCCTTGAGAGTCCAGAGGTTTTATGATTTCATGATGGAGTGACAATTCGGCTGAATACAAAACACTAGATAGAAAGTTTTTCTTTACTTATTTAGAAATATTAATTATCTTCCTACCCCTAGTGTTCCTCTTAAGAACTCAAAGAGAAATCTCATCTTTTCATTTTGTAGGTGATTTGAAAGCCTTCAGATCTTTCGGTCTATTTTTCATGTTCTCTCCTTTTACATAATGGGTCTAGAGGGGTGTGTGTGTGTGTGTGTGTGTGTATTTGCTGTTTTCCCCTATTTGGCAGCATATAATCTTTTTGAGGTGAGGTCTTTCCTTCTACAGTTTTGGAAAACTTCCTAAGATTTTTTCTTCAAATATTTCTTTCTTCCATTCTTTATCTCCCACAGGCTATTGATACTCATAAGTTAGTACATCTACTTTTCTCATCACTTCTCCTAACTTCTCTTTCTAAGTCTCCAAAGCTTTCCACGACCTTCCATAAGAATTCCTCACTCTTCTTACAGCTCACTGGCCAGCCACAGCCACATTTTATCACACATGTTGTGGTCTATAATACTTTTAGAACTATGTTTACCATTTGGCTTTTTTTTTCCAATGGATCTTCCTCATTATCCACATAGTTCATGTCTCCCCTCACCCCTTTGGCCAGATGATCATAGGTACTTAGAGTTCCTGTGGGACGGGCAGAACTTCCCATAGTTCTGCTTCACAGGTTTCTATTGTTGGGTGTGTTGTCATTCTTTTAAGGTAGTGCTTCTACTAAGAAGCCTGGTTATTTTGGCTCGTGAACTCAGATTCCACAGGGCATATTAGATACAGATCTGGTAATGGGGAAGAAAGGAAGGCTAAATCCTCTGCCCTTTGAAAGTTAACAATGAGAGGAAAAAGCCCTATAGCAGGCAGTCCCCAACCATTTCGGCACCTGGGACCTGTTTTGTAGAAGACAAATTTTCCATGGACCCGGAAATCGGGGGCTGGTTTCAGAATGATTGAAGCACATTATATATACCAGGCACTTTATTTCTATTATATTACATTGTAATGTGTAATGAAATAATTATACAAGGCACCATCATTCACAGCAGAAGCTGTGGAATCCCGGAGCTTATTTTCCTGCAGCTGGATGGCCCTATCTGGGAGTGATGGGAGACAGTGACAGGTCATCAGCCATTCGATTCTCCTAAGGAGCATGCAACCTAGAACCCTCACGTGCACAGTTCACATCACTGTTCATGACACTATGAGAATCTCATGCTGCCACTGATTTGACAGGAGGCAGAGCTCAGGCAGTGATGCCAGCTATGGAAAGAGGCTATAAATAAGATGAGCTTCACTGGCTCACCACTCACCTCCTGCTCTGCGGCCCAGTTTCTAACAGGCTTGGGGACCCCTGCCCTAGAGCACAAGACCCCAGGGACCCCCATTAGCTGCCATGCTTGTCCTCTGGTTAGGGTTTCACCTTGAAAGTCCCTGAGACACAGTGTGTGTAATCCACCCACCCTGGAGTTTGCAGGAGGAGAGGGCTGGGGAGGAAACGCTCTGCCACTTGGTTGTCTATTTTCATCAATCGCTCATGGCTTTTGCTGTGCTTCATGGTCCCCAGGAGCACCTGTGACCTAGTCTATTGCAGCCTGTTCCTACAGTGAAGGGGAGGCTGTGATGGCCTCCAAACCCATGACCACAAGGATAGGAGCAGAATGTAAGAGTATTCCTCTCATCTTTCTCTTGCTGACATCTCCAGCCACCATCTGCCCCAGGCTGTAGTCACTCTCTTCATACTCAGCCTTCAACACACCAACACAGCCTCCAGATTCCACATTTTCTGGGTTCCATTTTATCTCTTTACAGAAATTCATGCTGAACTGTCTGTTTCATGGTTCCTCCACAATTAACAACCTGCATCCTCTTCCCCTTTCCTCTCTATCAAACTTTTGTTTGGGGACAAACAAAAGTCCCCTTTCCTGGCCTAGGGACTCCACGGCTGTGCCCTATGGCCCAAACCACCAGAGAAGGATTCTTGGGTGCCCTGGACCTGATTACAAGGTTCAGGAGCTACTCAGGCCCTCTGTTACCAAGACCTCCTTCCCAGTGGCAAAACCCCTGACCTACCTGGTCTCAGAGCCATTGATGGAGGGATGGTCAGAGTTCCCCTCTGGAGAAGTGATCAGAACTAAGAAGGACACAAAGAAGGCAGTGATTGGCTAGGGGACCAGAATAGAGAATGGGATAAGGTCCCCAAAGTGTGAAAGGAATGGGAGAGGGGCCAGAGGCAGCTCCTAAGTATCCCTTAGGTCGACGATAGCTGAGGCCTGAGATCTCTGCAACCAGTTGAAGTCAAGTCTGGCACTGTCCTCTCTATGGTGGTGGGAGGCCAGGAAGGAGCAGGAGGGCTGGGACATGTGTGCAAGGCCTTCCATATGGACTCCCCTCTGGGGATACCCACCCATCATCATGAGAACATGGTGGTCTTCCTGATCACATCAGATGGTGCATGTTTCTCTCCCTAGGTGAGAGCGGATTCTGAAGGTAGCTTCCCACCAGCCCAGGGCCCAGGAGATCAGCTGCCAAAGTCAGGCCTCCCTGGTTTCCCCTTCCCTGAATCTGAGGCTCCCAATCTACCTGATGACCCCTTTTATCAACCCACACGGGGGCTTCCAACCTACCTGTGCTTGTTGGGAGCCAGGTAAGGGTCCACACAGGAGATGTGGTTGGGGCTAAAGAGAAAAGACAGCAGAGAGTGACTCTCCAGGGGTCCAGAGGGGAATGGGGTCTACCCCATACATGAGAGGAGGTAGAGGGCCCAGAGGCAGACCCTCAGGATGTCTTAGGTCAGGAGTGGCCTGTGCCTAAGATCTGTGTGCCAGAGCTGTCAGTGTGTGTGCATGAAAAGAAGAGATGTGGGTGTGCCTGTGTAACACAAAGAGAGATTCAGAGTGACAGAGAGACTGTGTCTCTGTCCAGGGACCTCTGGGGGTATCTTGCCAACAGTCGGGGCCAGGATGGGCAGGATGAAGCAGAGGCGAAAGGCTCTGTCTGGGGACAGGATCTTTGCTCCCCTCGGACCAGAGCAGAAGACCTGACAGGATGGGGGATGATAGAGGCATGGGAGGGGGGATGACATTTCCTTCCCATCCCTGTAGGGTGGCACAGGGGAATTTCCTCAAGAAAAGAGCTCACCTGGAGATACCACCAGGCTGATGTTTCTGAGAACAGTGATGATGTTTTTGGAAGTGTTGTAGATTCCACACCAGTAAGATCCTGAGTCATTCTGTGTCAGTTGATTCATGGTGATATTGAAGAAGCCAGCGTTGGGCTCATCCGAGATTTTGTACCGAGACTGCTGAATTGCTGTCTGGGTCTTGGAGGTGGTGACCAATAAGGTACACGTATTTGGAGATGTCTGCTCACACCAGGATTTGGGCTGATAGGGCCCTGTCTTGGGTGAGTACCAGCATTGCAGGAAGAGAGTCTGTCCTGAGTGTCTGTGAAGTTCTTCAGGCACAGCACCCTTTACCCAGGAACCTGCAGAAAGAGACCCAGGTCAGAGCTGTGGAGGAACCCAACCTCCCCTCTCACAAGCTGGGAAAGGGGAGAGGGAACTAATTCTGATGCCCACATCCGGAAGAAGGTTCCCAAATTCTGTCCTCTGGTCAGAGAGACACGCTGCCCCCTGGCCCCACTCATTCTTCATTCCTCTCCTTACCCTCCCTGCCCTCTTTCCCTCCATGGCACCTGAGGCCAGTAGCAGCAGCAGCACAGGTGGTAGCAGCAGGTGTGGACCCCCGCAGGCCATACCAGATCAAATCTGTCTCTAACAGTGGAGAGGAGAAAAGGGGGAACCCTCTGAGAAGAGGGAGTCAGATGCTGGGTCGGATTCTGGCCCAGGTTCCCAGTGTCTCTGAGCTGGCACAACTGAGGAAGGTCAATGCCTTGCTGGGGAAGTGACTGGCCTGGGAGGGCGGGCTCTGCAGACCAGGGGAGGAGGGGCATCCAGGCCTGGACAGCAGCCATCAACTATAGGATCTGTCTCTGGGCCTAGGCACCTCAGTGCTGCCTGTGTTGCTCTGCTGCCTTTCTCTGAACTTCTCCCTGTGTCTGCTGCTTTAGGCCCAGCCGGTCATGCTTCTCCTCTGTTGTTAGGGGCAGCTCTCAGCCTGGCCAAGAATAAAGCTGCTGAACTGAGGGGTCATCCCTCTTTCCTTCTCTCTACGCATTTCCTATAGGTGGTCAGGGTCCTTGGAGGCATGACCCGACTCCTGAGTCCTTCTGGTCTCAGCCATCGTGGCTCAATGACGAGTTTTGACCCTGGAACATTTTGTGGGGGACAGATTTTAATCCCAAGAATATTAAGATGTTCCCTGGAAATGGTGGGGCCAGGAGACCAGGGAGGTAAGAGAGTGCTGGTCAGGGAGACTTGGAGGGGAAGGCAGGCAGCAGTGGATCCATTATGGGAGCTCGGGATCATCTCAGTCAGCACTTGTTGGAGGAACACACGAGTGGGTGAAAGAACGATGTGCGTGTAAAATGTGTAGAGGAAGAAAATGGCCAAAGTGGAGCTATCTAGCAACAAATCAGGTGGTACTGGGTTACTACCCAATGTAGATAAGAAATCTCCGGGGGTCAGCGCTGGTGTAAGTAAATGGCCACGTAAAGAACTGGGGGAGAATAGACAAACATCCCGTGTGTAAGGATTTGGCCGTATTCAGAATGCTGGTGTTCCCCCATCTCATATATTCAAACTTAGCTTTTATGTGATGGCATTAAGAGGTGAAACGTTGTGGGAATTTCTTAAGTGATGAGGGCTTCACCCTCAAGAATGACATGAATGCCCTTATAACAGAGATTGCAGGAACCAGATTTGCCCTGTCTGACACGAGAGGACAGCGTTCACACCTTCAGCCAACTGAGGATGCAGCAAGAAAGTGCCACCCTGGAAGCAGAGAGCAGCCCTGAGCAGATGCCAAATCCACTGACACCTTGATCTCTGACTTCCCAGCCTGCAGAACTTTGAGAAAGATGTTTCTATGACTTCTCAAGTCCCATTCTAAGGTATCTTCTCATAGCAGCCTGAAAGGACTGAGAGAGATTGCAAACAACACTTACATGTATTCTGCCCTCAGGAAGAGAGCATAAGTGCCACTGCTTAAGCATGGGCTGTGCAGGTGACTTTCCTCCAGAGAACAGCATGCAGAAGGCAGAGAAGAGTAACTCCACAGTGGGGAAACCTGCCACTCATGGTGTCAGCCAGGCGACCAACGTGCAGACCCACAGAGATAACTCAGGTCGTTAGAATGTGGCATTGACTTGACGTGATGACAAGGGCAATTAGCTGTGCAGTCTCCTTTCCCAAAGCTTCTAGCCCCACGAGAAAAACATCAAACCAATTCCACATGAGGGACAATCTACCAAATACCTGAGCAGTATTCCTCAAAACCGCCAAGACCATCAAAAGTAAGAAATTCTCAGAAGCTGCTGTGGGTAAGAGTAGTCTAAGCAGACACGAAGATGAAAAGCAAGGTGGCGTCCTAGGTGGGACCCTGGAGCGCACAAAGTACACGAGGTAAAAGCCAGGGAAACTGAATGAAGTAAGAACTTCAGCTCACAACATCTACCCCAGAAACAGAGGAGAATGACTTCAGCACGGGCGGGGGATCGGACAGACTGGGTAGGTATTGTTGAAGACACACAATTTAAGGTAGAAAAGACAAGTTCAGACATCTATGGTACAGTATGGTGACAGGAGTTCATAACTGTGAATTGCACACTTGAAAATGACAAAGAGAACAGCGTTTTTTAAAACATAAAACAGAAACTAACTTTATTTTTCTGGAACAAGCAGGTACTAAATATTGAGACAGCAACTTTCCTGACAGAGGCTGCTGGGAAAACACAAAACCGCACAGAGGAAGAGTTAGGTTGAAGAGGAAGCACTGATGTCCCTCCGGGGTGGCTGTCCCTTGGTCTCCTTCCAACACGGAGGCCATAGGCCCTGGTACCCCCCAGAGAATGGTCTGGCACCCATTGCTTCCTGATCCACCTCAGCCTATTTCCATGCACAAGATCCCAAGACCAGCCGAGTCCCATATGAATTGAGCGTGTGGTCACAAGTCACATTGTGCCTGACACCCCAGCTCCCTGCCAGGCATCCCCTGGAAGAGGGGCCAGTCTGTAGAGGTTTCACCGGTTGCTCTCTTTGTGGCCAACACATCCTCCCTGCCCAGGTCAAGCCTGGTTTCCTCCCAGCCCGGTCACCTAGGGCAGGGCCTGGGGGTCCACTCCAGCCACAGGCCTGACCCAGGAATGGAGCCAGAGGCAGGTCACACCTAGAACCTGCTGGGGCAGCCACCAGGCCTGTCTTCACTGGGCTCCTTCCTGCATCTTGACTAGGACACTGGCAGCTGAACCAATGTGTTCAGGGACAGCGCTGTTGCTGGAGGGATGGGGAGGGGAGGGCTCCCAGCCTCCTGCTGCCTTGGCTATGCTCTGGCTCTGGGAGCAGGAGGTCCTCCAGGCCTGATGGGGGCGTCGCCCCACCCTGGTAGATGGACAGTCTCAAGTGATTCCTTCAGGCAGAGCCTCTGGCTCTCTAGACACATCTCAGTGCCTATCATGGTGGGCAGGGTGACAAAAGCCCGGAAGGTGGCAGCCAGCCTGCTCCACGTTCCAGTGGAACATCTCCAGCACTTTGTGGCACTCCCTTCTGTGCCGTGGACCCAGCCCAAAGGCCTGCTACACCTTCAGATACTGGGCAGCCCTCTGCAGGCTCCAGCCGTGGCTCTGCAGGGCTGTCTGGCACTCCTCCGTGGTCACCCCACGCACCATGGCCTGCAGCACCTGAATCTTGTCTGCTAGCTGACCCCTTTCTGGTCCATCCCCAGGGCAGCCCTTCTGTGGTAACAAACAGTGGCCCTCAAGACTGGTGGCCGGGCCCCTGGATTGCTGTTGGTGGTGAGGAAGTTGGCCTTGGCGTTTGAGGCAGCCTCAGGTATCAGTTGAATGGTGGCAGTGGGGACCTTGGTGCTGGATGGGGGCAACAGCAGGGCCACAGGCAGGAAATGCCAGTTTCTCAGGGCTCTGTGTCTCATGTAGGAAGCACTGGTAGTGCTCAGATAGGGCGGTCACTCGGACAGCAGGTAATAGTGGGTGCTGATGACCTTCTTGCCATCCCAATGATGGGCAGCATGCATGAACTAGCCCATGGACCAGGTGCCTGGATCACCTGGGTAGTGGTGTACTTAGGGTCTGAGGCAAAGCTTTGGGTGGTGAGAGTAGTTTTTAAGCATTCTCACCACAAAAAAATTAAGTGTATGTGGTAACACTTGATTTAGCCATTTCGCGATTAATGCACACATCAAACCATGTCACCATCATGACAAATATGAGTTCTACTCATCAGTTTTGTAAAATCATAATAGTAATGTATCAGTATTGGTTCATTAGTTGTGAGAACTGTGGGATACTAGTGGACTATGTTAATAATAGAAGACGTTGGGCATAGCGCATCAGGGAACTATGCAATACCTACACAGCTCTTCTGCGAATCTGAAAGCACTCTAAGTGTAAAAGATTAACACGTACAGAAACAATTTACACAAAGCATAATTAATGATTTCTTGATACATAAAAAACAGCAAAGTTTTAGGAAATCTTAGTGTGGCTAGGTGTAAAGCACAGTGACTGCAGCTAGTGAAGGAATTCCATCATCCCAGCTCCGCTTGCCACTCTGCACAGTGGCCACGGATATGACCCTGGGGGTGTGGAATTCACAGGGCTGGTTTTTCCTTGGTGTTACAACAGTGAGCTCTCCCTAGGTGTCCTCAGTTTTCACTGTGTCTTGCTGAGATAACGGGATTGCCTCAACACCCTAAAATGGGCAGGAACTCCAGTCTTCTGAACACCCACTTATCCCTGGTCCTGCTGTGGAATGGAGCCCCCAGGAGCCCCAGGAAGAAGGGCAACGAGAGGCAGGAGGAGGTGGGAACCTGGAGTTTCTGAGGAAGAGGACCAGGAGGCTGGGAGCCCAACCTGTCACTAGGCACAAAAAGGATACTCAGGTAAGAGGGGACAAAAGGAGGAGGGTCTCCAGTTACTTACTGCCCATGACCTTGTGCTCTCACCACTGACTCACCTAGCAGCTCAGCTACTCTGTCTACCTGGACTTCTCAGCTCAGGAAAAGGCCTCTGCCTGCATTAAGGTCCCATAATCCATGTTTATACCGTCTCTAGCTTCCTACATGTCTAAACGCCATGGCCCCGGCACTGCCTGCCATGCAGGTCCTGCCTCAGACTGCACTGGTGCTTGGCTGCCTTCCCAGTAACCCAACTCACTTGAGTGGGGTTACATGGCAGCCTCTTGCTGAAGCTAACGTAGATAACTCCAGCCTGCACACCCCCACGCTCATAAGCACTTAGTGGCTGGCTACACACTATGGCTCCTGATCCTGTGCTGTGTCCTGCTGCTGCACTACAGTGGACACTCTTCCTTCCTCTGCAGCCATGCTGTGAGTTCCATGTGGGCCAAGCCAGATTCTCTCCTTCTCTTCCGGAGCCCTGCCTTGCTCATCCCTGTGGTGTTGTCCCCGCATGTGTCTTGGTCTCATGTGGAAGGGACCACAGAGCACATCTCCAGCCTCCTTCCTTTCTCACTCCGAGTTTGAACTGGAGAGTGCCTCAGGAACATGTCCAAGATTTCATAGCAAATGTCACAGCTGCTCTGGGCACTTGAACCTGGACCCCAAACACATAGCCAATGAATACCCACTGCTGAGCTGCCCCATCCACCATGACCTCAGGCAGTCTGTCCTGAAGGCTTCCAGAATATACTACCCCAAAATATGTCATGTTGGCATAAGGATGATTTTGAGCTGAAGGCATTGTGAACCAGCAGATCCAGGCAAAATTCTCTGCCCTCCTGTATCTGCCTTTAAAC